CCTAAACCCTAAACCCTAAACCCTAAACCCTAAACCCTAAACCCTAAACCCTAAACCCTAAACCCTAAACCCTAAACCCTAAACCCTAAACCCTAAACCCTAAACCCTAAACCCTAAACCCTAAACCCTAAACCCTAAACCCTAAACCCTAAACCCTAAACCCTAAACCCTAAACCCTAAACCCTAAACCCTAAACCCTAAACCCTAAACCCTAAACCCTAAACCCTAAACCCTAAACCCTAAACCCTAAACCCTAAACCCTAAACCCTAAACCCTAAACCCTAAACCCTAAACCCTAAACCCTAAACCCTAAACCCTAAACCCTAAACCCTAAACCCTAAACCCTAAACCCTAAACCCTAAACCCTAAACCCTAAACCCTAAACCCTAAACCCTAAACCCTAAACCCTAAACCCTAAACCCTAAACCCTACGGTCGGCGTCAGCGCGCTGGTGCTCGGCTTCAACATCGTCCAGACGCTGCTTCCAACGTCGTTCCAAGTCCTCTCGGTCTGCCTCGTGCTGCTCGCGCAGGTGTCGAGCCGCAATCTCAGCAACCTCTGGATGCGTTCCAAGCGTGGAGTCAATGGCCACTCGCTCGTAGTCCGTGAGTTCAACGGTGGACGCATGTGACCAGGGATGAAGGGACGTCTCCGGTTTGCAGAGGTCCTCCAACACTTGATCTCGGGCACGTTGTTCGGCTTCGGCGCGGGACGCTTCAGCCTGTGCTAATGCCGTCTCCACTTGGGACTTCTCCGCCTTCACTCGGACCATCTCCTCCTTCAACGCGTGGATCTCGTTGCCGGCACCTTGGAGTTCGGGCTGCACCTCCAGACGCATGTTTAGTTGCGCTTGGCTGAGCTGCGCTTGGAACGCAGTCTGTTGCTCTTGCAACTGGCGCATGAGGTTCAATGCGACTTGCGCTGCACCCGACGATGCGGACGAAGACCTTGATCCGGAGCGCATCGAACGACTTGTCCTGCTGGAACGACTCCTCTGCGACCGGCCATGACGCGAACTCGCAGACGAGAAGTGACGGCCTTCAGACGTCAAGCCCGACTCACTGTGTGAGGGCTCAGACTTCTCCGTCTTCACGCTTCGCGCTCTCGACGACCGATGCTTGGATGTGGTCCGGCTGCTTGGCGCTTCAGCACTCTCGATCTCGGCTATGTCGACGTCCTCTTGATCCGGGAGCGTCCTTCGTGCTGGAATCACCGTTCGAGTCACGAACATCCCTGAATCGGGAAGCGCAGACATGGTTCTACCAGCTTGGACGCTCATGACCATCGGTCCAGAACTTAAGACGCATGTGCGACGCAGCTCCGTGACCCAGAGACATCAGCGACGACGACGACGAGCTCTCCCTGGACGACTGCGTCCCGAACGACGTAGTGTAAGGCGAGTTGTCCGAGGTTCCCGATGGACCGATCATACTTGGAACCGAATCCGAGATGCCACTGGACGGCGGGTCCGGGACAGAGTCTTGGACGCTCATCACACGGGCTGCCGAGTTCAGGCTCACGTTCGACGACGGTACCAGGGAGTGATCTGACGGAGTTGAGCTGCTGAGCGGACGAGCAGGTCGGCGTTGAGGGCGCTTGGGTTCAGGTTCATTCTCCGGCGACCCTCGCGGGCTGCGCAGAGCCATGATCCCAGCCATCCGACATTGCGACACAAAGGCTCGCCCGAGTAGCTCGGCTTCATAATCCTCCACCAATAGATCATCCTTTGCACCTTGAGACTGAGCACCTTGGTCCGAAGACTTGTTGAACGCACTCTCCGGTTTCACAGCCGGCACCACCTTGTATGGAATGCCGGCAATGAGCTGCTTCCACTCGATGAGCTCAATCGTCAACACTTGCTGAAGTTCTCCAGCAACCGATCGCACGTATCCAGGGTTGATCTTGGACGCGTGTGTCAGGAACGAGTCTGGAACCGCATTCACGAACTCGAATCCAGCTTCAAAGAGCAAGGTCTCCAGAACAGCCGCACACTCGCGCGCGGTCATCATGGCCGGAGGAATGGCAAGTGCCGTCAGAGCTTGAGCGACCCCGAGAACTCTGCGCTCAGGACGCAGCTCGGAGATCCAAGCCGCATCCCGATCGTCCACAGCCATTCGATTCCGCAAGTATTCCGACGTCACCATGGTAGCTTCTTGCCAGGCCGTGAAGTCTCGCGGAGTCGGCCAAGCGTACTCAACCGAAGGTGGAACGACGCGTCCAGAACGCATCTGCTCCCAGCGATACACTTGTCGAGCCACGAAGTTCTTCGCCGCCGTCTCATCAAGCTGGACCTCGCTCGCACTTGGACTTAGGCTCGAACGCAATACCGCGTTCTGGCCTTCAGGTGCTGGAGCCGGGCTCGAGGCATCACCTTGGGGCAACACCTTGGATCCAGAGGCTTGATCCTGCGACGATGACGGGGCGGGTTTGACGAACTCTGCGGCGAGTGCGAAGACGCATCCGCATCCTCAAGCGCTGACTCCGCCTCGGCTTCCGAATCCTCGATCTCGATCACTTCGACCTTGACCTTGGCTGGAACTACCTTGAGCACTTCCACATCTTGATCCGGCGGCGGAGAGTCCAAAACTCGATCCGCCGCCGGGGGCTCACCCACATTGACGCCTCCCTCAGATGCCGGCGCAGACTCAGGGTTCTGAGCCTGCTCTTCTTCGACACCTCCAGGCTTGGAGCTTGAACTTGGGGCCGATTCTGCCGCCTCCGTCGACACTTGGTCGTCTTGGGCAGCATTCTCTGTGGCCTTCTGCTCTTGCTCTGCAGCCGCTTTGGCGTCCCGTTCTGCCTTCTTCCGCGCACGATTCTCCCGGCTGATGACATCCAGGTCCTTGTGCTCTTCCGCAGGCAGTCCTTGCGTGTGGCGCGAGTGACGCGTCGCCTCACCACGACCTCCATCACCACGCCCTCCATCTTGTTTGCCTCGTCCTCTCGCCATAAACACTGGTTAGAAGTTAACGATGCCCAACTAATCAATTCCTACAAATAAAAACAAGTCGGTGAAATCCGAGGACCCCAAATCCGGGCACGTGTGGAATAGCACCCCACGAGATGTCGCGCCAGAGAACGAGTGACGGGAAGTGCCGGGAAAGATGGCAGCCGACGAGCGTCGGATGGAATACGACGCGTCGGAATGGCCAGAAATGTTAACGGGGTGATGGGCTGTGTGACACGCATACCGGCGGTGGAATCAGGCTAATTCTGGCTGATTCGACGAGCCGGTTCATACGCCCGGTCGTGCAAACCCCGTCGACCCTAAAACCCGTCAACCCTAAACCCCGTCGAGAAAACCCCGTCGAGAAATCCCGTCGAGGAAATCCCGTCGAGGAAATCCCGTCGAGCTCAAGTTGTGATTACGCCACACAAATCAGGTTGAAGGACGGTAGTGCAAGCACGACAGAAGTAAGGATAGGTAGAGAGCGGTAGACTTAGCAAGCAGTAGTACAGAGTAGCCAGTAGCAAGGACATAGGATAGGGTAAGGACTCAGTCCCGAAATTTCTCTGAACCACTCAGACCTCTCCCCTCCGGAAGATCGCCAGGTTCTTGAAACCCACCAAGCGTCGGCAAGCAGAGCCGCAAGGAACACGCGGTCCCCCGTCGCTCGCTGGCTCGGGCACTCCCCCCCCCCCCTCAAACCCCGTGCTGGAAACGAAGGCACGTAAAACGTATACCGGTTAGGAGGCGCTCGATAACGCGCAGCCTAGACGAAGGACTGCACGGCCTGATAACCGCTGTGCACAAGACCCCGCGTCGGCCCGATAACGCCACGCAACAAGCCCCAAGAAACGCCGGCCCGATAACGCCGCACGCCCGACGGGATCTCCGAGGAAACGCCGGCCCGATAAGTCCGCACGCCCAAGGAACAACCGACGCCCTAAGACAAGGAACAAGCGTCCACTCAACCCCCCCCCCCCCCCCCAACTCTGAAGCTTGCGAAGACTTGGGCTCTATATTCGAAGATACGCTACTCAAGATCCGGGAAATTGCCCGTCGCGACCGCAGATTGGACGCGTCGGGTTTGTGCGAGGGCGAACTCCGCGATTTCTGCGAGGCCGCTACTCCACACAAGCGCACCAGCTGTGACGAGGCTCGGTGCAAACCTGAACCGTCCAGGAGGTTTTGTATAGCGGTAGCCCGGGCTTTGGTGTTGCAAAGCCTCTAGAGGGGGTGTCCCTGGAACCACAGTCCTTTGAAACCAGAGTTCCTTGAAACCAAGTTCCAGGGATGGCGTGTCACCTTGGGAATCCCTATCGGCGTCGTTTGCCTTTGGGGGGCCTGGATCGATCACCAAGTGAGTTGTTCAATACAAATAGGCAGTTAACCAGTTGAGCGTGACGTCCACTTGAACACACTACTCAATGGCGAGGGGACCGGAGGCGCAACGAGATGAGTAAACTGGTAGGTCCACGAGGAGATCCCAGAATACACCCAGCTTCCGATAAACCAATACAATACAGAGTTATACACAACAAACAGCCGCCACTTATTCTTTGACCCTTGGGCGGTGGGTCTTACGCCAGTCGACTAGGCCGATTCCAGAGTACTGGTCAACTCTGGGGCCTCTCGTAACGCGCACCACCCTCTAACGAGGGAAATATACACAATCCAATACAATCCTCTCTCACGAATGCAGTCTCAAAGTCAAACACTCAGGGGACAACCGCTAATAAATCTCCCCAAGCTCAATCAGTAACATGAAATGGGACACCACCCTTACCTACACGCAATGGGCCCAACTAGGATATGGAATGCGTGGATCACTTCAGACGCTCGAGTAAAAGATCCCCACGCAGATGGACTTGATGATGGTGGGGAGCTCCGCGACGACCGTGTCATTGGCGACCTACGGACCCGATTCCTGGCTGGCAGTGACTCTCGACTTGCGCAGTAGGGGGTAAAACGAACTCTCTGATTGTTATCTGCTAGATTATCGCTAAGCTCAATATAAAGGCTATTTTCTTCTGGGTTCTTCTGGGTTCTTCCGTGTTCCTTGCGTGCGATCTTCGTGAATATCTTGACTTGAGTATGCTTGGGGGGGGGTTGTATACGCCGACCTCGAAGTAGACTGGATTTTTCATCCCACTCTTCAGTCAGTGACTTCTGGGTACAAATCAGGTCAGTCATCGTCGCTTGGTTTCAGGCTTGAATCCGAGGGTGCGTTTCAGGGATCCTTGATTCTGCAGCACTTGGGTTCCGGCATCCGGTTCCAGGGGACCAGCGGGCGCGACTTGTGTTGCGAGGCTTTGAGCTTGTTCCGGGTGCGCGAGGTAGTTTGTGGGTCTCTATCGAAGCGAGGCGGGACGCCAGCTGCAATACGTTCGCAGGGGCGTTTTAGGCATCCCGAGGGTCAACCCGCTTGAGGACGGGGGCGACTTAGACGTAACACTCGATTCCAGGGATTCTCGTCCTGAAACGCGAGCTTCCAAGTCTGAAGGGCCCATCTTCGATCTCACCACACTCGTTCCGCGGAACACCGCCGAAGTCTGGCGAACACCATGTCACACGGGTGCAGCCGGGGCTGAATCCATCAACCAGCCAATCAGAGTGCAGATTTCTGCCACGTCAAGCGACTCACTCCGGCCTCTCGGAAAATCCCGTTTGGCCTCGTGTCATTGGTTTGAAAATTTTGTGACTAGGGTGGGAAATGGTGAAGTACTTTGGTAGTACCGTACATAAACCACTCTAATTCGTACTTAGTGATTGCATTTGCATCACTGTGGGCATACATGTAGTACGACGTCAAGCGACGTCAAGGAAGCGCTATTGTATTTGAAACGAATCAAAGGAGAAATAGAACTCAAGAATTCTCTATAGCTGAATGGCATGGGCCACCAGTCAATAAGGGCAAGGGGCCTAGTGCATGAAATTACCGGTAGGTCGTCCGTAGGGGCCAAGCTCATAAATGTCGAGCGTGCTGCAGTTCACTGATGCTGATTCACGGAGCTATGGATAGCAAGGTTAGTTAACTGGCACCTGTCCCTACTCCGCTCTGCCCACGAGTTGCTCCCTGTCAACTGAGAGTTGTCGTTGAAGCTGCTGGGTTGGCATCTTGCTGACTGGAAGACCAGGGGTGGTCCTTACTTTCGTGTGCGGAGGAGTCATGCACTCGGACTTTCGAGGACATAGACTTCATTTGAACTCGTGCTCTGCGTCAGCAGGCAACTACTGACTCCACTCTGAAGGCGTTGCATGGTGGGATGTCATCTACGTGCTCAAATAACGTGCTACAAACCTTTAGAATAATTATTCTTTAGTTTTCTGAGATCGCCCGAATTCTCTATTAGTTGGTCAAGTCCGCATAAATTGCTCAATGCGTTGCTTCCTCACATACGTGCATATTGTGTCTTTCTGGCGATGCCGGGTGTGATATCTTTCCTAAGTCACAAATAAGATTTTTGTGGCATTACTCGGAAGTCAGTGAAGTCTACTCACAATTCAGTAGTACCAGAAAGGTAAACCGAGTTATACGTTACGACCACGCAACAGACTTTTGCCAAATGATGGCACATTTTCGTTAAATGTAGACAAACGATGACCATTTTCGCCAAATGATGGCACCTTGATGATAATTGATGATGCACCTAGCTAATTCACTAAGAGGCCTCAGAGAGACCGTTTGCAACCGAAGCGAAGTGGAGGTCTGCAATGGTCGGTGCGTGGGCCGGATGAGGTATGTCTAAGTAGGAGTTAATATCTAATCCAGACACCGCGCCTGGCCGAAGCCGAGTACTTAGCGTAAGGCACGAGGGGGTGGGGCAGGCCGCGCAGCGGCGCTCCCCGAGCAAAGCGAGAGAGGGGCGGGCCCCCCGAAGTGCCGTCGCTAAGTCCGCAGGCGCGTGCCAACGCGCGAGTGTCCTACCTAAAGCAGCTGATAATGTCTATCGCCGGTTGGCTGCTGGTAGTACACTCAAAAGTACTTTGGCGCTTAGATATTTAGTATTGCGGGGGAGGGGGGCGGAGATTTTCCCCTACTGAACGGTAGGGTCACTTGGGCAGGGGTATTCCGGGTTGACCAGCCGTACCAACGAAGAAGAGATCCAGCGAGTATTAAGATAAGCATCAATTTAGTTAGGTCAGTAATTCCCAGTAATAAAACTTCAAGTATGAAATATACCTTCCATCCTTGGACGTTTCGTCAATGAAGACGAACTGGTCGGGGCCACTATAGAAGGGCAGAAGCCGAGCCACATACTCACGTCGCTCACTAGGCACACATTCTCGTGCCCGCTTTGTGAGCACCTTCCTGGTTAGGTTGAGGTCGAAGCGAAGTGCTCGGCAGATAGTTGAGTCCGACAGGCTGATCGTGTCTCGGAAGTTAGCTCGCAGCTCGAGGCACCGCTCCTCGAAGTAGAAGCAAGGGTGGTTTTGTACATACGATCGTACAAATGCACACACCTCACTTGGCCATCTTGACGTCTTGGTCCTTGGTTCATTCTTCAGTACGTTTCCTGTCGTACGAAAGCGACGGTACCAGCGGCGTAAACTACGCACCGATAGACCTAGAACACTAGCTACTGTCGCTGTGTCTATGGAATATACGTACATGAGCACGATCCCTCTCCAACGCATGTCGATTGAGTAGGTCATCTTTAACTCTTCTGTACCGACGAAAACCTAAAATGGCCGGGCGAGTGTCGGCCATTCAAGCTTTTCCCGAGCTTGTGACTACCGTCTTGACGCCTAGGCGTTCTATTTGAATAAAAAACCTAGGCGTTCTATTCAAGTGAAACTACGAAACTCTGAAGGATGCAAAAGGTAGGCGTTGTATTGAAGTAAATCTAAAAAAAAAGAAGGTTGGTCGTGGTCTCTAAGCTATATTCGCATTCCTGCTACGTCCAACGCAAACTGAGGGCCCAGTCGAGCAAGGCATATCTTCCCAGTTGCCTCAGGAACAGTGTAGGTGAACTCGGAAATCACTTTGCAGTTGTCGTTCAAAGTTTTCACTTCAATGCTGCATCTGTGCAATCTGGATGCTGCGAAAAGCTCCAACTCACCCCATTTAGCAGTCCCGTTTCTGATCGACTCAATGTAGTCGTGGTCAAGTAAGCCCGTCAATTATTCAAGTCCAGCCATGAAGTCGGCGATGGAGGGTGCGAGGCTGAAACGGTTTATACTGTACAGTGTTACTCTTCATAAATAATACCCGAGAACCTCATAAATTACGTGAATGTTACCTGTGCCGTCGTCCCTCTCCGCTTATGTACGATTTTGATGTTGCGTGAAAGTATCTTGACGAGGCCAATCATCGCAGCACTACGCCGGCACGAAGGCTAGCTAAGCATGAATGCGAACACTGAAAATCGGCAAGCTCGACATTAGCAAAAGTACCGGTAAACTAATGAAGTGTTTGAAGTGCGACCAGCTAAACCATCGCTCTTGCGAGCCAAGCCCCTCGATGGTGGTGCACCCTGGCTTATCGCTGAGCGAGTGCTCGGCCACGTAGCTGACGGGTGTGTCACCGACCTCAAGTGACCTCTGCGGTCCACGCCCTCCTATGAATTAGTTCGCTTAATAAAAAGAAAAAAATGCCACAATACAGCATCAACCATGCAACAAAACGTTGATAGTAAAAATTATAACCAATGCTGGAGTTGATCGGACACTGCAGAATAGTTTCAAGTCAACTTACCAGATGCTGCGGCTGCGAAGCCGGCGCAGTAGATGCTCTGTAGCGTGCAACTGGGCTCTCCACACTACATTCATATCTCTACAAAATTTCAGAGCTTGTTTGTGAAGCGGGCGACTTGTAATTTTGACGTACCAACTAAGTAAAACTTATGAAACCTCTAATAATGTATATACTTAAACTATGAAGTCATCAAATACCGTAAATTACGGCGATCATGTAACGTCGTAAAAAGTTCACTTTGGTTGTGTAAAAACTCTCGTAAAAAGTTTGCTGCTGCCAACATGGGGGTAGTCCCTACTGAGCGAGGGGACATTCATTCCACCATCTCTCCGATGACGGGGACCAGGAAGTTTAGCACAAAGAACGCCGAAAACTGCGTGCCCTAGAGCGCATCGGCTCTGGTGAATCGATCGAGGCCGTCGCGAAGTCCTACGGTGTCACACGAGGAACAATATGGCGTTGGGGGCAGCGGCTGGCGGCGCTGCAGACCGCTAAATCGAAAGCTGTCTTTATAGGCACTAAGGTTCAGTAAGCGGCAGTCTCCGCAGAGAACGAACAACGGTACGGCTACGATGATTGTGCAATGAGTGCTCTTAATAGGTTTCTAACGTTTGCTGCTCTTAGTTTACTCGGCTGGATTAGGTACATGCGAGGGGCTAAATACTTCTGCATCACTACAGAATGTATCCGCTACGCTCTCGCATACTTTGACCCCCGCTATGTCGAATCAAAAAGCCGCGACGCGGTTAAAATGTACATATTCGTTTCTTACGCCGCAACCTACTTACTTACCGACGGATCACGCACCGAGGCCGCGTTATACGGCCTGAAATACAGGTAAAACATATTTTAGAGATGTTTTATTGTTGATTTACTAACTCTTCATTAAATTGTTGCTGATCGTTTCTCGCAGTCAATGCTGTATCACGTTGAAAGCGCTGGGTTCTTTCCTATCGGGATGCCAGATAGATACGACTACGTCTTCAACATGGACCAGACCTCGGTGTGCGTGGATATGAATCCACATAGTACGATTGAGTTTGTCGGAGCTCGAACGGTGGATGTTATTCAATGTGAGTCTATTAATGCGATTAATGGGATTAATTTTATTCTGCAGACTGAATCTCTGTTACGTTTTGTTACAGCGACGGCGCCTGACTCCTTCCGAGCCTCGGTGTAACTGTGTGCCTCTGCGACAGGTCGTAAGCTGCGACCGATGATCGTGTTCGCAGCGACACCAGGTGCGATAGTCCAGGAGGAGTTGAAGGAGGACGAGCACTACGACTGGGACAGAGGCTACTATACGGTCCAGGCCAGGGCATATTGTGACAGGAAGGTCATGAAAGAATGGATCGACAAAGTGTGGACCCCCGACATTCGAGGACCAAGCGTCTTGGCGCTTGATAGCCTCATGACACACAAGATGGAGTTTATCCGGACTCAGCTCGTGGACCACGCGCACAGCAGCGTATGGTCTACGTGCCTCCTGGGGTGAAAGGACTAGCCCAGCCCATGGACATCGCCGTTATGAAGCCCTTCAAGGATAGGCTAAGAGATCTCTACACTAAGTTTGTTATTGAAAACGGTACCTTTACGGATGGAGCCCAGAAGCGACGGCATATTACCGCTTCAGTGCTGCAGGCGTGGGACGAGGTCGACACAGAGTCTATCTGTAACGGCTTTGTAAACGCCGGTCTCATTGCGACGGGCGATGAGAGAGGGTTTTTCGCGACACCAACGCCTACTAGTGAAGGAGAAGTTGGCAAAACATAAGAACAATCAATGCAGTCGGAGGTTGGTTGTAAGAAGAGGTGTCACTTTAGGATTTTTGTCGTCGTAGCAAAAAAGACAGGCCGGCATACTTTTACCATGCAAAGCGATATTACCGTATGTTACATGACCGCCGTGATTTACGGTACCGAACAGACAAGAGGAAAATGTTGCGCCTGCAGATAGCGCACTTGAGGATGCGGTTGTTGATCAACGCCCGAGCAATGAGACTCGATATGCAATCTGCACACAACTGGTATGTAGATGTTCGTGGCGTGACGAAGTTGCTGGGCGCCTCCAAACAGACTGGACAAGTGCCCGCGCCTCCGCCACCTTCTGTGTTCTTCTTTTACATAGTATATGTAACTTTAGTACATGGAAAAAAGTTAACAATTAAACAAATTTTTAATATAAATTTTATATTAAAAATGTATATTAAAAATAAAAACTAACGCTTTTTAATTAAAAAATATAATCTTGCATTTTAAGGTGATTGTCACATTGATAACAGGGGGCTCGCGAGGTGATGGAGGTCGCACAGGCGGTGCACAGAGTAGGGCGGGCGAAGGCGGGCGTGCAACCGTTGCCGAAGGGGACCTTGGTGGTGTAGCGCGTGGGCTGGCCAGAATACCAATGGCGACTATTCCTGCACCACCACTACCGAGCACAACCGCTTGACCTAGAATACGCAGACGTGAGTCGCGGAGTGCTTTTGGGCGTGCCTCGGAGTACAGATGGCCGAACTCTCGTTTCGTCTCTCGAGCAGCATCTACGCGTTGAGTCTTCATCTCTGTGCAGCGATGCTCGATACAGGATTTGGTTACAATATGCGTTCGAACACTCGGTAAAGGCTTCCCACAAACTGGACAGACCACGCGCACGGATGTTGCAGATTTGATAATGCAAAAATCTACTTACATCTTTTCCATGTAAGTTTGATCCTACCCTTTCCATCGTGTGCTTAGTAACGTCCTAAACTATTATGTATGTATTAAATTCTTATCACTGTCCTAAATTATGATCAACCCTAATGTAGTTATAAATAGTCCCACCGATCTACTTACGTTTGGACAAAAGTTCGTTGACATCATTCATGCAATGTCCGGCGACTTTATTGATCTTTTGGGACGTAGGATACCAGCCTTATATTCACCCCCACCATGCGCGAAAGGTTTTGAGCAGCAATTCCCATATGCGTATAAACCCGCAGTGAGAGCGAGTTGCAACCCACATTTTGCTTGCTAACGCCTATTTTCGTCACACTAACCACGGGTGCTGCATCGGTAAAGGTTATGTTTCGTTTTAACTCCTCTAGCCCCGCTTCCTATTTTCTGCAAGGTAACCACTTTTCTTATCCTGTATACTACAGTATAAGAGTATAAGAAATCAGGCATAGTTTAATCTAATTATTCTATACAAATGTCAAGTCACTTCCACCGATCGCAGGATTAGGAAGGATTTTGCTAAGCTCGGGGGGGGGGTATAATTCGTTGTTCAAGATTTTTCGACATTTCGGGCTTTCGCGCCGTTTGCGAATCGGAAAGACACGGAGCACAAGAGACAGAAGCTCGCAACAAAGAAACACAAGCATGCGAAGTTGCGATACCCAGTCACCGGTACGTGGTTTCAGTATTTTCCGCTGACGCGTGACGGGGTAACGTTGCTTTAGTACTCTATGGCTTAGCGTCCCAGCCCCCCCCCCCCCGGACAGGTCGAAGGGAAATACAGCCCACTGTACGTATTTGAATATATTCTGCGAAGGGTTGGCGTGCAAATATCGATGCAATGCTGCTTGGAAAGCCTTAGCGACGTGATACCGACCCTCTTCTCGGTGGTCAAGGTAACTACTAGTCAATACGGTGTCTTTGACGGTTAGCTAACGTTTGCTAAGTGTGATGCTGCACACAGCGGCTTGATCGATAAATGTCTGGTCACGCGGGGCCCCAAAACGCGGCGCATAACACCCCCCTCCCCGCTAAAGAATGCATTCGGCCATAGCAACGACGAAGTTACCAAAACGATGCCTATCCTTCGGCTGAAACCCGACCCTCAGCGTAGACGGCTCCTTGGTGTGCGTTGCCGCTGGTCCATAGTGTTACTGGTACGCTTCTACTTATTATATAGGATACAGGATTACAACTAACGTTTTGTGCGATTAGTCGGTATAGTCGAGATTAATCAAGATCGGCTCAATCGCGAAAAGGCAGTCGGATACATTGAACGTGGCACCGCATCATGTAGCGAGGGATCGCCAAGGGCTTCTAGAAATATGTTTATTTAGGTAGGACTACTTCTTTTCAAGAGTGTTAGTGTTATTCATCTTTGTAGCAAGTTCAAGCGTCGTGGCTCACATGGTATAAAGATGGAAGCTTTGCATCACTTAGAAAGCTGGAGTTCGAAAGAGACGAGGCTGTGAGAGCCAATATAACCGATACAAGTATTTAATCTCGCTCTCGACACAGAACTTATTTGCGAAGAAGCAAGAATTTCCCAACTGCACGAGAGCTGGGGATACGAGAGGATGCGACGTCGTAAGGATTCGATCAAGTCGCATGCAGCTCATTGTCCAACACCATCCGTGCTCGGCGGCTCAGCATCGAAGACTCGGTTCGATTTGTCCGAGGCGAGACAGATCAAGATACCAGACCGAACAAAGCATTAGACACCGCTCGATTGGTTAAGTCCTTCGCGGATATCCACATCTCGAAGCACTCGTCAAAATTGCGCCGCATGGTGTCGAAGCTCAGTGGTCATCTACACCACCAGCGCGTCGACCCCTTCCCCGAAATCATGGGTCCTGTGTCGCCATTTAAGAGCAGTCACAAAAAGCATTCGTGAAGACCAAGACTGCGGGCAGTACATGGTAGTTGAAGTCGACATTCTTTCGCACTGGCCGTCAGTGATACGCAGCCCACTAGGTGCCGTTGAGAAGAAAGGTGTCGACCCGTCGATTGAAGTGAGGACAATTCACGATTTGCCTTACCCTGAAGGCGAGTCAACCAACTCCTCCTTCAAGATAGACTCCGTGCCAACGATCAAGTACGAGGCTATCACAAAGATCGCCCGACGCATTGAATATCTCGCGAAACAGGGTGACCCCACTTGCATCCGAATTCTGAAAGGCGATGTACGCGGTGCTTACAGGCATCTTCGGACGATTGCGTCTCAAGTGTTTCGGATGGCCGCCTTCGTGAAGGAGCTGAACATCTTGTTGATCGACCTCACAGCACCTTTTGGATGGGCCGGCTCTCCACCGTTTTACGGGTTGTTCGGTCGAGCCATCTCATGGCTCATGTCAACCAATTCCCCGGCATCAGTATCTATATCCGATGACAATGAGCCTTTCTTCGGCTACGAATGGGTTGACGACCATATCCTAGTCGAACTTGACGTTGGAGACCGGCTACACCGAGCCGAATCTACGTTGCGCCACGCCATGCTCGCAGTGCTCGACCCACGATCCATTAACGAAGCTAAGTTCTCGGGGTGGTACTCGGAATTGGTGGCTCTAGGATTACTGTGGAACACAACTGATCAGACTGTATCAATTCCAGCTGATAAGATAGCGAAGGCTCTTCAACAGGTTTGAGCCATGTTGTCACGACGATCCACAACGAAGACGGAGCTTCAAAAGCTTTGGGGTCGCTACGTCACGTTGGAACTTGTGTCAGCACGTCGAAACCTTTTTATCAGCAGCTTCATTCGCTGACATCAAGAGCACCTCGATTTGCATGGATGCAATTATCCGACGGGGCCGTGCAGGATATACTATGGTTTCAGAATATTCTAGCCTTCGGTCATCTCGCAGCACTCCCCGTTAGCATGTTTGGCAACCTGCCAGCGCCCAACGTTGAGCTGTACATGGAATCGTCAAATAGCGGACTTGCAGTTCTCGATCCAGCGGCTTCTAAGTTTACCCAGCTGAAGTTTGATTCTGACGAGGAGATCCTCATGGATAGCAGTACCTCGCCGGACCATCACTTCTCCATTAATGTGCGCGAACATTTGTGCATGGCTCTAGCACTCTGGACATGGGGTCCAATCTGGTACGAATCGTCCGGCGGCAGCATGGTGCACGTGAAATGCTGGAGCGACAACATGTCAGCAGTGCAGTGGTGCAATCGCTTGCACTCCAACAACGCACTCAGTCAAGAGATTAACAGGGCCATTGGCCTCGCTGAAGTCTACTTTAACCTTCGAGTGTCGGCTGATCATTTGTCCGGGTCAACCAACTGGATGGCGGATACAGCATCACGAGCCTGGACGGAACCTTTCAAAAGACGCTGGACTAACTTTTCTGTGTCATGGCAGCGATCACCGGAACTTTTCAGCGAGCTTAAAGCCAAATCATTGGCCTCGACGTCGGCCACCAAATATGCCGGGACCTGGTTTCAGTGGACGAAGTGGTGTCAACTTCTGCACTTACCGGAGTGGCTCCCCGCAGAGCGAGCGCACCATTCATATCAACTCGCCTTTTTTGCTACCTACTGCTGGAAGTTCGGATGGAGCAACTCCAAGACAGGCAACTCTGCCTCAACCGTGCTCGCCAAGATCAGCCGCGTGTCGTGGTATCATCGGCGATTTTGCAGGATACAGCGTTGGACTTACCCCAGGACACCAGCTCGCCATCACTGGTATGCGCCGAGAAGATCCCCCGACAAACCCGAAATTACCCATCACACTACAATTCCTCAAGAGCCTGCACAAGTTCCTTAACTTCGACTTCGCCCAGCACCGACTTTTGAGGAAATCAGAGTATTTAGCGGATGGGGCCAAAGTGAAATCGTACGCGATCCGAAGGACCGATGTTCGCTTTTTGGATAGCGATGATCACGAGCAACAGGAACTGAAGCGCGTTCAAAAAGTTCAAATTCGATTCCGCGGGAGCAAAACGGATCAATTCGGCGAAGGCACCACCAGGACACTGGAAGATCGGGCCTAAAACAGTGCTGCCCCGTCCAAGCGTGCTGGTACCTGGTTCAGCGCCATAGCTCGCTAGGCGTCGATGCCGACACGCTTCTGTGCAAGGTGTCCTCTTCGCAAAACCTGCAAGCCCGAGATCTAATTGAGGCCATCAAGGGTGCCGCGAAAGAGAACGGAGATACGCCAGAACGATTTGGATCCCATTCGCTGCGCAGTGGTGGTGCTACCGCCCTATTCAATGCAGGTTTCTACAGTCTCGCTGTGAAACTGTGGTATAGTACCCCGCGGAAGAAGTGGGCGCGCCGGGCGCCGGAGGAAGAAGGCGCCGGGACGCGAGTGATGGACTTCGACGCGGCTGATGGAACGCGACGCAGGGCCGAGCTCGACGGGAAAGTCGGCGTCGGTGATGACCGTGAGACATGGTGCCAGAATCCAGTGCGACGCGTAATCATCCGACGGGTCGACCAGCGCACCCGGTTCTGCAAAACGCGCCGACCTTAAACCCCGCCAAACAAAACGCGCCGAGGTAAGATCTTGATCGCGCCATGTAAAACAGGTTGAAGCACGGTACTGCAAGCACGACAGAAGTAAGGATAGGCACAAGGCTTAGCAAGCAGTGGTAGGGAGTAGCCAGTAGCAAGGACATAGGATAGGGTAAGGACTCAGTCCCGAAATTTCTCTGAACCACAAAGACCTCCCGTCTTCTCCGAGGTTCCAGGGGAACCACCAAGCACCGGCAAGTAGAGCCGCCTCGATGTCGCGGCCCCCCGTCGTTTGCTAGTTTGGGTGCTCACCCCCCCCCCCCCCCCCACAGACCCGTGCTGGAACAAAGGCACGTTAAACGTATAACGTTTAGGTGGGCGCCCGATAACGCGCTGCCTAGGCGAAAGGCCGCACTGGCCTGATAACCGCCGTGCACAAAAAAAACCGTGTAGGCCCGATAACGCCACACAAGCCCCAGGAAACGCCGGCCCGATAGCGCCGCACGCCCGACTGGAACGCCAAGGAAACGCCAGCCCGATAACGCCTCACGCCCAAGGCTCGACGCCCTACGACAAGGGACAAGCGTCAACACAAGAACCCCCCAACTCTGAAGCCTGCGAAGACTTGGGCCTGTATTTTGAAGATACGCTACTCCAACAACCGGGAATAATTTGCTCGGCGTGACCGCTATCCGGACGCGCCGAGTTTGTGCGAGATCGCATTCGCGAGATTTCTGCGAGGCCGCTACTCCACAATGGTGCCGCGACCCGGGAGTACTACTTTGAATGACGGGCTAACGATCCAAGAGGCATCGGAGGCAGGTGCGCAGTCGGCTGGAAGGTCGCCGACTGCAAGAGAGCACAGTGAGAGACCTGTCGCGTCGTGGAGCTCTGAAGGAACCTTCACGACAGGCCACGGGGCCAGCGACAACCAGGAGGGCTACGAAGAACAGTTTGCCGTTCCCGATGCGGCTCCCGACGAGGGAGCCGCGAAGGGCCGCGACGCAAGTCGCGGTCCTACCAGTCGGAAGCCTGCAAAGGCCGACGACCAACAACAACCCACCGCCAAGGCAGCCATGAAGCGCAAGTCGCCCAAGAGGAGGAAGAAGAAGCTGCGCGCGCCGGACTCGGCGGAAGAGTCGCTGTCCAAGCCGCAAGGCAAGGACACGGGACGTCAGTACACCGTCGAGGAGGTACGGTACGTCGTGGCGCGCACGGAGCTCTTCCGTCTGCTAGAACAAGACCCAATCTTGGTCTTCCTCAAGCCCATGCTGATGAGCAACTTCACAGGCCCCTTCGTGGTGCCGGACTTCGATAGTCTCACCAGCGTCGCCCACGCCGCGCCGACTCTCTTCCAGATGCTGCGTGACTCGGGGTTCGTGCTGGGGGCTTTCGAGATGGAGAGGCTGTGTGATTGGGACCTCAAATCTTGATTACGTGCGATTCGCGTCGTGCAGGAGCCCTTGACGATTCTCGCCGGATCCGTCAAACAAAACGCGACGAGTTCCGCGACGGGCCAAGACGCGCCGAGTCCCTCGGCGGGCCCAGCCCTGGTCCATATTGTAGAGCACATAGGGCGGCGGCGTCGCCGTGGCAGCATCCACAAAGTGGTCAATCAGCACCTTCGACGACCACGCCCTCGCCTCCACCTCGATACCAATCGAGCGTGGACTCCGACAGCAGTTTCGAGTCGCCCAAGCGCATGCCCATGAACCGGCCGCCGCGCGTCATGCAGCTATCCGCGGCGCCCGCACGCACGGAGGTGACGAAACCCGCCGAGGAGGTGCTTCCCAAGGCCTTGAGAGAATCCATCATCAAGTTGAGGCAGACGACAGTGATGAGCGCCCCGCGCGCCGACACAGCCGCAATTCCGACAGGGCCGCCCGCGAGTCCCACACTCACGGTGGCTCGCCCCCAGGAGGCAGCGGATGTCGCCATGGAGTCGGTCAGGTCGCGTTCTTCGACGAGGTCCAGAACTCGACGCAACGCAGACGAGGACCCCGATGACCTGTTCGACTTGGACATCGGAGTGCCAAGAACCGTGGCCACCGTCTCGACGGCGACAGCCGGCGGCGTAGCCCTCGCCCGCGTACACCTCTCAGCATCTTCCGAGCTGAAAGAGTTCTCGGGACGGGACGCCAGCGAAGAGAAAGCCAGACTGTGGCTCAACCATCGGAAGTCCGCCGCGCGGCGCGACGGGATGACGGGCGAAGAAGTGTGCGGGCAGTTCAGCGATCTAATGAGCGGCCCTGCGCGCCAATGGTATCTCCAGTTGCCCAGGAAGGTCAAGAAATCATGGACCGAGCTGATGGAGCAATTGCGTGTGCAGTACTGCAGTAAGGGCGTGTCAATGGCCAGCCGCTACTACCATGCGGCTCAGCGCCCCCGACGAGACCCCTCTGGATTACTTGTACCGGCTCAACGTCGCGGGTTTGAGGGCCAACATCCCATACACCGAGGGTACGACTGAACAGAAGGGCGAAAACGTCGAGCATTTCATCCGGACGCTGAGCACGCAGGAGACCGAACTCGCCTCGCGTCTCACGCTGATGGAGGTCGCCGACTCCGAGGCGCTGGAGAAGAAACTGCGTGCCCGACAACGGGGACTGGCCCACCAGAAAAAGACTCTCTTCGGCTCGAACAAGTTCCGCCAAAAGTAGCCGACCCCACCGACTCAGCCGGCGCGCGCCGTGCATGCGATTCACGTCGCGTCGGACGAGTACGACTCGGGACGCGAAAGTCGCGACAGCGACGATCGCCAGTACGACCAAGACGAGGCGGACGAAGAACGCGCCAAGTTGTTCGTCGCGGGACAGGCCCCGCCGGGAGAGCCGGCGCGTCGCAACTTCGATCCCGACGACTTGGGACGCGACCGCCCGCGGTGCCGCTACTGTGGTTCACGTCGCCATGTCGAAGGAGACTGCTGGAAGTTGTTGACGTGTCAGAAGTGTGGTGGCCAGCACCCGACGGAGCGATGCTTGAGGGTGTGCAAGGCCTGCGGTGACGTGCACGAAGCAGGAGAATGCCCGATGGAGGAGTTCTTCAGCCAATTGCGCCAGTGGTTTGACCCGAATAAACACGCGGGAATGCTGCTGCCGGCCGCCGAGAAGATGTCAAACTAGGACGCTCGCTGGCTTGGAAACCAGTACGAGACGAGCGACCTGTTTCCGTCTATGCATATGTGACCAAGAAGTCGCGAGAGGTGGTTAGTGAGAACCCGACTTCCCTGAATGATAATACATGTGAATTCAACCTGGAACGTGCCACGCAAGAACGCGCGCGGCGAATCTCGGCGGTCCGATGTACGACGCACGTCGAGTTTGCACGTGAACCTCCCCTGGACGAGATCGAATTGCAACCAGGAGAGCGACGCGGATACTGGAAACATTACTCGCCGCACAAGTGGTACAAGCAGGCCAAGATTCATGGAACGCTGAACAACCGCCGTGCTGTGTTATTGCTCGACACAGGCGCCGAGGTGTCCATCCTGGACACCACCTTTGCTCGTGAGGAAGGCTGCCTGATCGACACGGAGATCACGCAAGAGTGTGTGGGAATTCGTGATGAGACATATTACACGGTGGGGAGAACCAGAGTCAAGATTACCTTGGCTGGAAACTTGGTGGACTACATGCACCTGTGGGTCGGCGACTTGGTCGGCCAACACACAATCCTCGGAATGAACTTCATGGTGCCCGCTGGAGTGCGGATCGACACTGCGGACGGCACGGCGTGCCTCCCCGACGAGGTGCATATCCAGATGATCGGACGAAGACCGCTATACAGCGCACGGATGCACCCGGTCGATGTCAAGACGCCTGTGAGACTCGAACCAGGAGACACGCATGAAGTCTTGCTGAGGCCGGATCGAAACGCGCCGTTCCTGTGGGTGACACGGGCAGAGTCGTGCGTGACTACCTTTGTCAAAGGGAGAGTCGGAAGGAAGACGTACCTGCGTGTCACGAACATCGGAGATGCAGCGATAACCCTCGACGCGCATGAAACGCTTGGGTGGTAGACGCCGTCTGACGGCCAGCCTCGGAACCGTGGATTCGTCCGACTGGGCTCCACCCGGTACCAGCAGTGGCAGAATCTGGCGTACGGCGCGACGCACGACGCGGAGGAGAACTGGATCCCAGCCGAGCTGGACGGACCGATGACGGATCGCTCCTCATACCCGACGCCTAAAGCCTTCTTGCGCCCGGAGCCGAGACAACTCGGGACGCGACGCGCCGTGACCCCAGTGTTGGCGGCTGTCGTGGAAGCGCCGAAGGCAAGGGGGGTAGACTTGCCACCCGACGACCACAAACCGGATACGAACGAGGAGGCGGTGGAAAGCGAACCCGATATGCCTCCGACTGTGGCTGGAAGCACTGCGATGGAAGAATCGCCGAAATCGGAACTCGCCGAGCCAAAACTCGACGGACCAAACCCCGCCGAGCCGAATTTCGACGAGGCGAAACCTGATGAGCAGGAGGAAGACGATGCTGTCCTCATCCACGAGGGGTCCGACCTCTTCGCCGAGGATCTCGAGTCCGAGATGGCAGTGGTGTCACACCTCTCGCTGACCGCCGAGGTGAAAATCGAAGACTTAAAGGTTGGCATGCCGACTGGACTCCCGCCCGAGGAAGCCGCAATACAAGAAACGCGGCTACGCCAAATCGTCTGGAAGCGACGAAAGTGGTTGATCGACAAGGGCAACGCCTTGTCGCCAGCCGCCCTGGGTGTTGTCTGCGACATCGACGTGGGCGACGCAAAACCCGTCGTGCAACGCGTCCGGAAAATCCCGCCGCAGTTCCGAGAGAAGGTCGCACACTTGATCAAGGGGCTGCTGAGCGCGACGATGATCCAGAAATCGAAGTCGCCGTGGGCGTCGCCCATTGTCGTGATCATAAAGAAGAACGGCGTCGATATCCGGCTTTGCATTGACTACATGCTCATCAACGGGCTGACACAGTTGATGGTTTACCCCATGCCGCTCGTCAACGACTTGCTCGAAGACTTGGACAAGTATCTGTGGTACTGCTCTATCGACATGGCGAGCGGCTTCTGGGTCGTCCCCATGACAAACCGGGCCCGGCTCATCTCAGCCTTCATCACGCCGATGGGACTGTACGAATGGTGCGTATGCCGTTCGGCCTGTGCAACGCGCCGCAGATTTACCAACGCTTGATCGACAACGCGCTCTACGGGTTCATGAAGCTGTCCCCGGATGGCAGCACTCGGGACGTCTTTGAAGACGGCGAACCGGTGAAGCCAGGTATTCACTCCGTTCTGGGACGGAGGTCGTACATCGACGACATCCTCATCGGGGGCACGTCGTGGGACGACCTGTGCGAGAAGGTCGAACGCTTGCTGGATGTCTGCGAGCAGTGGCACTTGTCCATCAGTGTCGAGAAGAGCGAGTGGGGCATGTCCAAGGTCGACTACCTGGGCCACCGAGTCTCAGGACTCGGTCTCGAGGCGAAACCGAAGAATCTGGAGTCGCTGACGTCGCTCGAGTTCCCGCGCACGATCAAGGGCCTGCAATCGTTCTTGGGTAGCCTCAATTACTACCACCGGTTCATTGCAGACTTTGCGGTGTATGCAACCGCGCTGTATCCGCTGACGGAGACCGACTTCAGCGAGTACGTCACGCATCCAGAAGTCCGCGAACATGAGAAGTGGACGCACGTGACGCGCGCCTTCGACGCGCTCAAGGCAAAACTCGCCGAGACCCCAATGTTGAAGCACTTCGACGCGAACCGAGAATCCGTCGTGATCGTGTACGCCAGCGACTGGGCCATCTCAGGGATACTCACGCAAATCCACGACGCTGTGTACATGCCTGTGAAGTTCATCAGCCGTACGCTGAAGCCCAACGAGCTGAACTACGACATCGTAGAAAAGGAGATTTTGGCCCTGTTGCGCGTCTTCAACGAGTGCTACACGATGCTAGCAGGGAGACCGGTCCGCGTCTTGATACGTCACACGACGCTCGCCTGGTTGTTCCGGTCCAAAGGACTACAGGGGCGGCTGTCACAGTGGGCCGCGATCCTCTCGCCGTGGAAGCTGGAAATCTACCGATCCATGAAGGGAGAAGAAGAACGCCTCGGCGCGCTAGCCGCGAGCATTACACCGCGAGCCTTCGTCGATGCGGCGCTAGAAGAGATCGCCCCACGGAAACGGGCGTCCAGGATTGTAGTCATTCCAGTCCCTGACGTGGCGCGTAACGAAGTCTTGCACGTCTTGAGCTTCGACGGATCGGCTAAGGCGAAACGAGAAGGCGGAGCATACAGTGCCGTCATTTGGCAGCTGCCGAACTGGGAGATCGTGCGCACCGCGTCGGGATATGCGACGGACCTCACGGTCAACGAGGCGGAATACCGCGGGCTGCTGCTCGGATGTTCTCTTCTAGAGGAACTCGACGACGTCACCCGACTCGTCGTATGCGGAGACTCCAACCTTGTCATCAGGCAGATGCGGGACGAGATGGACTGCAAGTCCCCGGGGCTGAAGCTGCTGCGACAAAAGACGCGAAACGCACTCCAGGCATGGCCGCGCCACGAACTCTTCCACGTACGACGAGACTGGAACGCGAGTGCCGACATGCTGGCTGGACAAGCTCTGCAGCGTCAAGGAGGCCGCAACGCGCACAGCCCAAAGAGATTCAAGATCTGAAGTCGCTGAATCGCTTGAAAGAAGTCATCCGACCACGGGCATCGAGTCCCGAGATGGCGTCTCCAGCCAGTCCCGACGCGGATAATCTCGACGCGGATAATCTCGACGCGGAAAACCTCGACGCGGAAAATTGCGACGCGGAAAATCGCGACGGGAAGGCCATGGACGCGGGACGCGGGACAGCACAAGTCCTCGCGGTGACGACGCGCTCGGCTGCCGCACGCACGACAACACATAGGGTCCGACCTCCAGAAGTCCTGGAGGAGCTGGTGGTGCAACGACTGCGCCTGGACCGCGTCCGCGTCGCCCAGGACGAAGAGGTCTGGATCATCAACCTCAAGAAGTATCTCCGCGGCGACGTCGGAGACCTATCTCGGCGCGAGGTGAAGAACTGCCAAAAGCTTGCGCCTCAGTACGAAGAGGGCGAAGGCGGGCTGCTCTACTACCAGCCGAGAAGCGAGGATTCCGCCGAGGACCGCGATGTGATGATGAAGATGGTGACCGCGGAGACTCTTCAGGAAGATGTACTCCACCACTATCACGCGAGCCTGGAAGGCGGACACCAGGGTATTGGCCGCACGTACCAACGCGTGAGGCGCCACTTCCATTGGCCAGGGATCTTCAGAAGCGTCCAGCGCTACGTCGACGAATGCACCGACTGCGAGACGGGAAAGTGTCGGCCGACCATCCAGGGCGAGTCGCCGGGCAACATCGTCACGACGTACCTGTTCCAGGTCATTGCCATGGACCATATTCCGTCGTTGCCGGCATCCTATAAAGGCAACACAGAGCTGTTAGTATGGGTCGACCTCTTCACGGGGTTCGTCGTGGTCAAAGCGAATGCGTCACGAACCGCGCAGACGGTGGCCGAGGCGTACGAGGAGGCGGTGTTCAGGCGCTTCGGCGCGAGCGAGGCTATCCGCCACGACCGCGAGCCGGGTTTCATGTCCGACTTCTTCAAGGCGTTCAGCAAACTCATGGGTCAGAGACAGCGAGCGACGCTCGCTTATCGTCCCCAAGCCAACGGTGCTGCAGAACGGATGGTGCAGACGGTTACAAGAGCGATCAAGATGTACATCGCGGACGTCGACCAACGCGACTGGGACGAATACGCCGAGCGTCTTACCTTCGCGCTAAATACGTCGCACGACCGGACGAGGAACGAAACCCCGTTTTTCTTAGTGCGCGGCTGGGATCCTCGGTCGAGGCTGGAAGCGACGCCGGCCGTCGGGAACACGTCTACCCGGGACTCCGAGGCGAGGCGGTGGAAACTCCGCATCCAGCGACACTACAAGGTGGCAAGGGCACAAGCGTTGGAGTTAGTCCGGGAGGCCGTCGAAGAGAGAGCGCGTCGACAAGCTGAAAACTCGACGGGCTCGCAAGTTTGGCTGTACCTGGATCGGGTGAAGCCGGGGTATGCGCGCAAACTCATGCACAAGCTAACGCGTTATATTTCTGAAAACTAGCTAACATTGATTGTAGAATGGATTAAGTCAATGACCAGCGACAGCTTCGACACAACCAAGGCAGGTGGCGCGAGTATGGCGCTCAGACCAGCGCATATAGCCAAGTAGCTTGTTACAGTGATGAACGCACTCTAATTATTATGAATGATCGCGCGCGCCAAGCGTTTACCCGTACAATGGTTACGTTTATTTCGGTGCTGGACCTCCACGATGGGTGGACCCACCAAGAGCGTTCGGCTCTACGTGTATAGTGTGGATTGCCAATTATACGTTTAAGAGTGGCGATGCTTCCTAGACCTTTGCCAATCCAAGTTGGCGGTAGTGTTAGGCAAAACCGAGTGTCCTGTAAAAATCCTTTTCAGAGGTGTGTGTGTTTTTTTTCTCGAAAATTAGTGCAGACCAACGAGGATTTAGTCCACAGCAAACATCTATCGGCGCCATCGTTTTGACAAGTCGCATGTCAATGCAGGGCATGCAGCGTCTAGCATCAGTAGCAGTAGGCGCATCCGCTGCTACAGTTTTTTCGACTCAAGGCACATTGATCGTCCCCTCGTGGCTCAAGGCTAGGCACGCCTTGATCCGAGCTTTTAACAAGGTAAAGCAACCTGGACACGAATTACGTTGCACTGTATTATTTTCAATAGAGCAACAAAGTTATAATCCTCAATCCGGGTTTACATGCACGAGTACGGCCCCACGCGTAACAACTCCAAATCCACCCGCTTCTAGACGAGGTCCTCCACCTGGCAGTGAGCGGGAGTGTTGTTTAGGCAATGAAGGCGGTATTGCCGAGGCAGTGGTCGCGGCCCACGTCGTGGGTCTTAACCGCACCGTATACCGCGTCCACGAACACGGCGTTGACCTCCATCTTGATGCTACTATGACGTGTGACGTAGCGCACGAAGCCGACTTCGGTGGAAACCGCGCGCCGCACTTGTAGGTTAGTCCCTTTAAAGGGGGGAAGTTTGACGATCGCGTGTTCGCCGACGACGGCGCGGCCTTGTGTCCGCTTACACTATGAAGTGTAGTTAGCCTCGTCGTACTAAGCAACAAAACAATATTACACATGTTTCAGCAATACTTCACAGCGCACCCTTCTCTTCTCGATATTCACAACCTTATTGCAAGTATCTCGTGCAGGCGGCAAACCCATGCTTCGGCTCTTGTGGCATATTGCCGGTGGAGTAAATCTGCAACTTGTACTGGCTGCGTTTACCCTTCACTTAATCGCATTGCTCTACATACGAAATCTAAAAAAAATGTTTTAATCATGTAATATGTTATGTCAATTACTTGAGACCTTTTTGCCTTACACTGCTGCCAACTTGGATTAGCTCAGTGGTTTTCACCTAAACTTCAGTGACGCGCCCCTACTACTTTGCGATCTCTCCCATGTCGTGAGGGAATATTGTCAACCGTTTCAGGTTGCAAGTGACTGACTCGGTAAGTTATAGTCAACTTTAATCAAAAGTAACGTATGCCTTCTGATCTGAATTGCTTAGTGCTAACTATACTTCATACTTCGAATAAGATAATCACCGGAGATTAGCTGAACTCTCTGCAGTTCTTGTAGTACACAGCGAGTCGCATCGGGTTAGGTCATAGAACTGCCTGATGTAACCAATCGACTCGAAACTGGGAATGAGACGGTGTTGGTTGTCTAGCGTTTATGGGGGATAACGGCATGTACGCTACACAACTGGTGATAGAGATCTGTACTGAGTTCCTGCATCTCTATCT